TAAAGGAGAAGTTGAAGATATCTCACGTGTCCTATTGTATTGTGAGTTATACCAAGTTTATAGGTCAGCATATATTCTCCCCTTATTAGAGAAATTGCCAAGGAGGGCAGACAATTTCTATGTAGGCTTTCTCCTCCAGGACTCAACCCTTCTATCACGCATGCAGTGGCAAAATACTGTGTTGCTGCAATGTCCACAAGAAAAAAATTGGTTACAGATTTATAGCCATCAACTTGTGGCAATTTTTTGGAGATATTTCTAATAATTTTTGGAACATTATATTTACTCACATACTTAGCGGCTTTTCACTCATGTAAACTAAGGAGTGACCCTAACATTCTGAGAACATGTATTTTCTTAACAGGGATGTTATTATTTGCTATTAATGTCAGTACTATTTTTTTTAATATATTGTAAAATGTGACGTCTATTGCTAGTCTATGACCGTAATAAAGTCTATTGTTGTTGTTGCTGCTGCTTCAAATTTCAACAAAGGTTTATACATTTTAATAATTACAGTTCATGTTCATCATCAAAAACCAATTATATTTCAAATTCTGGCTCTCTTTGATTTATACTATGTCTTTTTACCCATTTTAAATCTTTCAGATGACTGTAAATGGGAAAATCATTGACAATTATATCCTTCTGCTATTCATTGCACTCTTAATCTGACTTTAAATTCCCCTTGGTGGCTTATCAATAAGTTTGATATGTCAATTATTTGTCTTTGTCTGCCAGTTGTCTTCCATAATATGCTGATGGAATTAGCAGAGAGGGCCAAATTGACTGTGGTGATAAAAGAAAAGAATATAAGTACTTTTGTTTCTACTTGGAAACCACTTCTGGACTTTGTGCTTGAGGTGGAAAAAATTGATGTCATGATTTTCGGTTTTACTGATTAGACTGATTTGCCGATACAGAAATGGCTAGTGCATACTATTGTAGAAATGTAAATAGTTGACAGTTGATTTTAATGTCTGGAATGCATGAAGTCATTGTGCATCTATGTCAAATTCTCCTGTATGTGTTGGGTGCATCAAGGTTGTTTAAATGAGTGCAAATTTATTCCATTCTACCTCTATCCAAGAAGCTGAACTACTAACTGTGAGGGCAAATTAGTGGGAGATAAGAGTCAACTGAATTCAATGAGGGCTGGACTTAGGGGCTGCAAAGGGACTCAGTCTGAAGATATGTTTGACCTCTCCTTTGGCCTCAGCCTGGTCATCTCTTGCAATATGATCCAAAAATACAAAATTAGCTGCGCCTCTTCCCCACCTTTCCCTCTCTCTTTCTATGTGTGTTTTTTCAGGAGGGCAATGTGGCAATAAAACCAAGATATAAAATACAGTTCATAGGGTTAATTCAATATATTGCATTTCTTCACAAACTTCATCAGTCAAAAGAAATATATACTGAGACTAGTGGTGCATTGAAACAAACAAACAAACAAACAGAATATTCAAAGAAACTTTAGGTGTCACATTTCCAGAAAAAGAAACTCCTGGGACATGATTTTACCAAGAGTATAACACTTTACTGAAAAATCCACATTGGCACAGAAGAAAGCGAAACCAGCTCTAGGGTTGCTGCTCGGAAATGGGATTAGTTAAATGATAGACTCCCCCACCCCCACCCACCAGGTGTTTTCCAATAGTAATAATTTTTCTTGGTATGGAAAGAGTCCGTTTCTCCTTCGAGACCTGGCCTTGGGCTCCCGGTTGCTCAGCTACCATACCTTCTCCTGCATACCATTGTCAAGATATGAGCAAAAGAGAAAACCTAGGTGAAAGGCGAATCAGTCTTGACATTAGGTCCTCCAGAAAGGAATATCTTTGGGACAGGGGTCTGAATAGTCCAAAAGGTCCAGAAGATAGCAATCACCACATAATAAAAGCTCCGTTCCTTTTTCACCCAAAGCACTTGCAAGGCAGATAAAAATGACATGGTTGAAACCACCACTTGCCCATTTTTGGCACCTCTCATGCAAATTTGCCCTTTGCCTCAACACTCTGCTTGTCAGGCCACAATTATCTCAGGTTGGGGCTAACCAATTATTATTGTCTACATAGATTGTTCACCAATTTTGCAAGCTGTGACTCAGTAGCCACTTGGGAGAAGTCAGACATCATCCTCCGGGGAGCCGCAGCAATGAAGGCATTAGTGCTCACCCTCCTCTTCATCCTCGTTGCAGCCAATGAAGCCAAAGTATACTCCAAATGTGAACTGGCTTCACGTCTGAAACAAAGTGGTATAGATGGGTATTATGGCTTCAGCTTGGGTGACTGTGAGTTTGCTTTCTCTGTTTTTCTCCACCTGAGCAAGTTCAAGGTTTGCAAGGGGGTCAAAAATGGGGCAGATCGCTTCAAGAATGTGTTCATCCAGCCCATCCAATGAATTATAAGATTCTCCTCTTAACCTCACAAATTTCTCTGCGCTGCTCAGGAATTTTAAAGAGCCAAAGAAACTCCTGAGTCGATGTTTCAGCAAGCAAACGACTTTTATTTTGATCAAAACAGAGTCGGGTGTCCTCCTCCCCTTTCGTGGCTGCTTAAAGGGATGGAGGCACACCCAGAAAAGATTTCTTCCACTTTTTAATACCCTTTCAGAACAAAGAGGCTCAAATCTTGGTACCAGGAGCAAAAAAGTACAGAAAAACAAATTCCAAGGTGGTGACTCATACACATCAATCCAGGCTAGCTCACTTTCCCCCCTCCCTATTTCCTGGACCATTGAATTTCATCTTGCTCCTTTATGTAAGCAATCACCTGTATATAGAGCAGTGGTTCTCAACCTTTTTAATGCCGCAACCCCAACCGGTCGTAAGTCAAGGACTAAACCGGTCGTAAGTCAAGGACTAAACCGGTCGTAAGTCGAGGACTACCCAACCGGTCGTAAGCTGAGGACTTTCCCTGCCCGGGAGCGCTGTGCATGCGTGGTTCCACCCCCTGCACCGGCCGAGGCGTAGCTGGCAAGCAGCAGAGACGGAGCAGGCCAACCACCAGCTGGCCCAGCCCAAGGGAGGTAAGGCACCCGCTGGAAAAGGGGAAAAAAAATGGCGGACAAAAAAAATGGCGGACAGCCTTGCTTGGCGACCCCCATGAAATGGTCGATCGACCCCAAATGGGGTCCCGACCCACAGGTTGAGAACCACTGATATAGAGCATGAGACATTTGCTTTTATATAAATAATTTTCCAATATAAGGCACCTACAAAGCTGCTTGCACATAAACAAAGATATATATAGTGATTACAAAGTATCACTACTGATATCAATATAAAGTGGTTACAAAATAACACTACTAATATCAAGCTTAAGCATAATAAAATCATAAGCATTATAAAATCCCTTCAGAATAAAAAAATCTTTTCAATTTTCTTAGAATGTGTGGGAAGTCAGAGCCCCAGAGAAGGAAATATTAAAAGGGCAGAAATATATATTTCCTCAAACGTATTTTAAAAAGCAGAAACCAACTTTGGCTCCAAATCTCTCTGCCCCAAGCAAGACCTAGCCC